AGGTGAATCACAGAATCCCCTAGCCCTTGGAATGTCTGGAGACCCCCGCCCTTGTCTCCACCCAGGAGGTGAATCACAGAATCCCCTAGCCCTTGAAATGTCTGAAGCCTTTTCATCCCCATCCCCGCCCCTCACCCCCACTCCCAAGGTGGTTTTTCGGGTATAAAAAATCGTGGCATCCTCCTGTTGCCACCACAGGTTGGAGAGACGTGAGTCCTCTGTGGTCGCCGGCATAATAAATGACTCTGCAATCTGGCATACTTTTGTCTCGTGATAACTTTCCACGCTCCGGTCAAATACAACATTCTGCACCCTCATCCAAGGCATAAAGATCCTAAGGGGCCTGCAGAGGTTTCAGGAACATATCAGCTGCTGTCCAGCAAGCCAGTGCTTAGGGTGGGGACTTGGCTGACGCAGGTGGCTGAGAGGCTTTTGTCTTCTCCCTTCCTGTCACTATTTGTCACACTTGCTCCCATGCGGCTTCTGCAGGCTCAGGTGAGCAGGTCCAGCACAGAAACAGGGCTGAGGAAGAGGAATACAGGTCAGGACGCTGAGCAGAGGAGTAATCCCCAGGGGAGGAGGTGTGGGGCTCACCTTGCCACAGCTGCAGGCTCTGGGGCTCCACAGATGGCCAAGGCATCGAGGACACAGAGTGGGTTCCAGAGTCTTTGTTGCTTTTTTGACCCCAGACCACAGGGAGTACATTTGAGTCCTCACTTCATACAGGTATCTGCAGACATGGAGGGAGGGCGTTTCCAGCCCCAGGTATGCCCTCTGGGAGTCTGGGTGGGCAGCCCTGGTTAGTAGGGTGACAGCCACTCTGGAACAGTGATAACTTTTCTCCTTTTTCTTGCAAACATTTACAGTCAGATCTTATATTGGGCACTAGAATAAAAGAGGAACAAGACAAAGTCCTACTTAAGAGTTCTATTTAAAGGGAGAAACCAATTTAGTTTTGCCTCAGTGTCAGAGAAGGCTAATTAAGAATGTGATGTTTGGCTGGGCGCGGTGGCTCACGCCTGTAATCCCAGCACTTTGGGAGGCTGAGGTGGGTGGATCACCTGAGGTCAGGGGTTCAAGATCAGCTTGACCAACATGGAGAAACCCCGTCTCTACTGAAAATACAAAATTAGTCTGGTGTGGTGGCATATGCCTGTAATCCCAGCTACTTGGGAGGCTGAGGTAGGAGAATCACTTGAACCTGGGAGGTGGAGGTTGCAGTGAGCCAAGATCATGCCATTGCATTCCAGCCTGGGCAGCAAGAGTGAAACTCTGTCTCAAAAAAAAGAACTTGATGTTTGAGCTTCGTCTCAGCAGACCTAGCATACCCACTGTGCAAAGCAACAGCCAACACTTGGGGAGAAGCATGAGCCAAAGCAAGAAGGTGGAAAGGGCCCACTGAGAATATTGATAGATCTGGACCCAGGAGCTTTTGAAAGAAAACTGGTAACAAGGAAGATGCAGAGAGCAGTGAGGCAGCTGCCAGAGAGTCCAAATGGAAAGAGACCAGTGTGGATGAAGACGTGGGGAGAGCCTTCTGGCAAGGGAGGACCAAACTCAGACATTTTTAGGAGAAAGACTAAAGATGAAGGATGGGGGAGAGGGAGGTAAATAGAGATGATCCAGGACCAGTGGGGTTAGTGAAATAGGATGGGGTGTGGAGGAAGACTGAGCAACAGAAAATAACTAAGTCTGATCTTCACCCTGGAGAGGAGTGAACCCTTCCTCCCCCCATCTCTTAGCGTCCTAAGACAAAGCTGTCATCTGGGGCTGATTAGGAGCATACACAGTGAGCCAACCAAATAATAAAATACCACTTAATAATAAAATAATAATTTTATTATTACCAAATAATAAAATACCAACCAAAAAATAAAATAATAAAAATACCACTTCTTTTTTTCTTTTTTGATGGAGTCCCGCTCTGTCGCCTGGGTTCAAGCAATTCTTGTGCCTCAGCCTCCTGAGTAGCTGGGATTACAGGTATGCACCATCACACCTGGCTAACTTTTTGTATTTTTAGTAGAGATGGCGCTTCATGTTGGCCAGGCTGGTCTCGAACTCCTGACCTCAGGTGATCTGCTCGCCTCAGCCTCCCAAAGTGCTGGGATTACAGGTGTGAGCCACTGCACCTGGCCAGGTTGTGGCTACTCTTATCCCTTTCATGCTACCGACAAGACAAACTCTAACAGGTTTGCTATGAACGCCCAGCAGGACACAGTGGTGATACAGGACTTTGAGCCCAAATGATTCCACTCTGCTTTCGACCTCTGTTCTATTACTTTGAAAGAATCAACCTTGCAAAGTGATAGAGAGCTCCAGAAATTATTTTTGCAGTAACTTTCCCCTTTAATCCTTGTTTTCAAGACAGGGGTCACTTGCAATTGGCTATGGACAGAGTAGCCCCATGAGGCGGAGGTTGCGGTGAGCCGAGATGGCGCCATTGCACTCCAGCCTGGGCAACGAGAGTGAGACTCCATCTCAAAAAAAAAAAAAAAAAATCTAAAGGATTGGCCTTGGCCCTATCTATCTCTGGGTTTGCAGAAGTTAGGAGGAAGTGTGAAATTTGGAGGTAGGGGCAGGAATGACACTTGGTTTTCCTAAAAGACAAACTCAATTGGAAGGGAAAGATGGCTCCTAAGGAATTAAGGTACTGATGCCGCAGACATCCAGCCCTTTCCTGTGCCTGCCCCTGACCCACCTCAACACCCCCTCAGCTCACCTCCCCTTTTCACTGTTGCAGAGGAAGGTGCCAAAAGGGGAGGCATAGGTGCACTCAAACAGTGCCAACAGTAGCCCTTCCCCAAACTCCAGTCACAGTGGGAACCGGCGGCCCAGTTGCCACACGCAGTCCGGGAAGAGGAGAAAGGTGGATGATGCCTCGTGCTTGAGGCAGGCATGGGAGAAGGTGGAATGGGCACAGCGCAGCTGGAAAGGGTGGCCAACCTGGAGACGGGGGAAAAGCAATGGGCACGAGGAAGCAAGGTTTCTGGATGGAGGGTAAGGCCGCGGTTGGGTGGTCACTTACTTACCTGGATCCACTCCTGCTCCACTAGCCCCTGGTCCTGCTCAAGAGGTCCAGTGAAGTCACAAGCAGGGTGCTGTCTGTGCCTACAGCCTGATGTACCAGAATGCAGGCCCCTTCCCTGTGGGCCCAGGGCTCATCAGCAGTGGCCTAGTCCTTCCCTCCCAGGGTCACCAGGACAGGAATAGAATGGACCAAGTTCTAGGCTATATTTGCTTACTGAATCAGTTTTGCGTCCAGGGGTTGAGAGCCCTGCCCATCACACCCTAGTCTCTGTGTCAAGGGGGCTCCATGCCTGGGACTGCCAGGCAGGTGATGCTAGTGCCTCCTTTATATGTGACAGCCAGCAGCAGCTGTCCAGCTGACTCAGCCAGTGATCCATGCTCTGCTCCAAATCCCCACAGGCCTCCACCAGGTGCATGAAGCTGTCCTGCAGGGGCTGTCCTCTGGGCAATGGGAGTCTGGTCATCTTCCCTAGCCCAAGCCCTTTGCAAGTACAGCCTGGGAGCAAGTGCTCGAGACCAATGAGGGAGACACAGAACCCTGTAAAGAGCCCATCTGGCCGGGCACAGTGGCTCATACCTGTAATCCCAGCACTTTGGGAGGCCGAGGGAGGTGGATCATTTGAGGCCAGGAATTTGAGACCAGCCTGGCCAGCATGGCAATACCCTGTCTCTACTAAAAATACAAAAATTAGCCAGGCACAGTGGCAGGCACCTGTAATCTCAGCTACTTGGGAGGCTGAGGCAGGAGAATTACTTGAACCTGGGAGGTGGAGGTTGCAGTGAGCTGAGATGGCGCCACTGTACTCCCACCTGGGTGACAAAGAGAAAAACGTCTAAAAAAAAAAAAAAAAAAAAAAAAAAACCTCAGA